GTGAAAAATCATCAGCAAAAGCACAGATGGGTTGTAAAATAAATATACAGCTGAATTTTATCTGGCTTTGGAAACATGGAAACTCTGACATTGGCAACAACACAGATGGGCCGGGAGGACATGATTCTAACTGGAATAAGTCAGATGCAGAAGCACAAATGCTTCACGATCTCATTTACCTGCGGGATCTAAAATCTCCATGCTCTTAAAGCAGAGTAGAATAGTGGGTCCCAGCACTGTGAGGAGAGGGAAAAGGGTGATGTTGGACAGACGGTGCAGAATTTTAGTTGTGCAGGTGGAATGACCTCTGGAGATCTAATGTACAGCGATGTTCCTGTATTTAATACTGTATCGTGAACGTGATTTTTGCTAAATAGGGAGCTCTTAAGTGTCCTCATGTGACACACACACACGCAGTGCATTCAAAATAAATGTTAGCTCTGCGAGAAGAGGGATACACAAATTACCTTGACCATGATGAGCCTTTCACGATGTGTGTCTGATACGATTTGGATCTGTGTCCTGTCCCAAATCCCATGTTGCAACATCATCCTCAATTGTGAAGGTCAGACCTGCTGGGAGATGACTGGGCCATGGGGTGGTTATTTCATGGATGGTTTGGAACCAGATCCTGGTGCTGTTCTCATGACGGTTTGTGAGTTCTCACAAGATCTGATTGTCCAGTAGTGTGTAGACACCTCCCCCTTTTCTGTGGTTCCTGCTCGGGCCTTGTGATGTGCCTGCTCCCCTCTGTCTTCTGCCACGAATCTAGCTTTCCTGAATCTCCCCAGAAGGACAAGCCAGTACACTTCTACGGTCTGCAGAAACGGGAGCCAATGAAACATCTTTTTTCCCCTCAGATGACTCAGTCTCGGGCATTTCTTTATAGCAGTGTGAGAATTGACTAATACATGTTCAAAATATCAAGTGGGGCACCTTAAACACATATATTATTAAAATATTTCAATTTTATCTCAAAAACTAAAAAATCCTATTTACTCTTAGAAAAAAGCAATACATGCTTCATATCTTCTCAATAAAAATGAGAAAACATAAGAAAACGTACACTAAGACCTTTCTAACAGCTTTGCTTATAGTACTCATAAACTGTAAAGAAATTTAAAATCCATTAACAGGAAATAAATCAAAATATTGTCATTTATTTACTTGATGGACTGACTGAGATGTAAAATCTCTCTCCTTCTCTCTGTGTCCCTCTCTCTCCATATGTACATGAAAACATTGAGGTTCCATATCAGAATCAGTCCATTATTGAATAAATGACAATATGTTGAACTAATTTTATATATTAAATAACATGAAATAACCTCAAAAATAGCAAAGTAGCCTCTTACCAAAATAGGTCTATAATGTTTGATTACATTTATATAAAGTTCAAAAGAGAAAAAAACATATGTCTATAGTATCAGAAATCAAAACATTTCCCCAATGTAGGTGTTCACCGCAGGCACAGAGAAAGACCCGAGCTGGGAGAATGGACTTGTGTTTCAGGCTACCTTAGGTTTTGGGAACAAGGATATTCACATTTGACAGAAATTATCCAGTGACACATTTCAAATCCATGCATTTTTTCGTACACGGAAATTTTATCTCTTAAAACAGAAAAAATGCAGAATAGTTTAAAATTCAGAAATAGTAAAATTAATATTAAACATTGTTCAAACTACAAACATTATTACATGAATTAATAAAATTCATTCAGGTATGCCTACTGAAATTGAATCCCAAAAATAAAAAAATAATGGTAACATCTGAAACTTAATAAGCATACATTTCACAGAGAAGGAAAAAATTGTCAAGACATGTGGAACATGTATTTTTTTTAAATCAAATGTCACTATCTTATTTATACAATATTATAACCTATGTCATTAGTGTACATTACTAATATTTTGTGTGATCTTGCAACTGAGAACAACTTTAAAAGAAAAAGCATATTCGAGAACACATGGACCAAACTGAATGTATTTCCAATGTTGGTCCAACTTTTACAACTGTAATAATACCCTGGTTTTGAGTGGGGCTTTGGAAAAAGTAATTCTTTTTTGAAAACTGAACAATTTATTAAGCACCCAGTTTGTACCAGGCATTGGGCTAGGCACCCTCACTGTCTGTTGTTCCCAGACCAGAATCATCTACTTAGAAATTAAAAGCAAGACAAGAACCATTGTTGCAACCATAGAAATTGGGGGACAGGAGGCCATATCGTTGATGCAGGTAATTCCCAGGCCAGAAAATGCACCCACCAGAAACTTGGTTTCTAACTCTAGATAAGTCTCCACAAAACAGTTGTTTTAAAGCTTCTCAATGTTGACAGAGAGGAATATTGTTGTCTCTGTGCCCCAATGGGGCAGGTGGCTGGTGGACATTCAAATATTCTGAATGCTATTTGATAAAAGGAGCCCGATGGCCTAGTCTAAAGAATATCAATATCTGGATTAATCAGAGCTACTTGGGAGGCTGAGGAAGGAGAACTGCCTGAATCCAGGAGGTAGAGATTGCAGTGAACCGAGATTGTGCCATTGCACTACAGCCTGAGTAATAGAGCAAGACCAAGACTTGAGGGAAAAAACAAATGCCTTTTTTTCAGTTTGCATGGTTGCAACAGCCTTTACCAGATATAAACATCCCTGTCCTGACTAAATGTTTGACGTAGACCTAGTTTTGGATTCCTGAGTCAGAATCTTCCAGTTGTCTGCACCCTCACAAAGCCAGAGAAGCCAGAGATTTATCTTCTGGAAAGGAGTGAGTGGATGGCACGGCTGGTTTCGAAACAAGACAAACTGCACCTGCATTTACAGAAGAACACACAGGAGAACGACCTAGTGCTGTCTGGTCTCGCACACACGTGTGGGACTCAAGGGTGGGCCCAGGTCTCACCAGCTCTAGTTATCAGTGCTGGGGATCCAGAGGCCTGGGCGGAAGTCCAGCGGGTCATCGAACTTCCGGTCCAGGAGCTCCGGGAACTTGTTCTCCTCCACCTACAGGTGGCGCTGTGGGCGTTTGGTCGCCTCAGTGTCTGTCTTTAGGGAGCGACCTCTGTCTTCCGGGTTTTCATTCTCTCAGCCGCCTCGAGCTCCTCAGAGACACAGCCGCGCTCTGACAGGAGCTGAGGTGGGATTTCACTTTGTTTTCGGGGACCTTTCAGCTCCGTCTCCTGTTCTCGGAGCTCCGCCTCCAGCTCCTCCATCCTCCTCTTGAGATGTGTGTTCTTCTGCTCCTCCCTTTTGGTGTCCCGGCCTCTTCCTGTTTCCACGCTGGCCTCCGCCTCCCGCAGCGCCGTGGTCCGCGGGGCGTGGCTCTCCTCAGGGGCTGCAGCGGCAGCTTCCGCTCCTGCGCGGTGGCCGCGCTCTGCATCACGGCGATCTCAGCTCCTCCTTCTCGGACTTCCGGTGCGTGTCGGCTGCCGCGGCTGAGAGGCCTTTTCATCGCCGTCCTCGACACTGGATGCCGCAGCTGCAGCTGGGGCTTCACGCCCAGATCACTGGGAACCGTGACTCCAGGTCTTGGTTTTTTCCCGGGCCTTGTCTTTGGGAATCTCGGCAGCTTCCTCCAGCTCCTGGAATTTCTCTGCAAACGTTGTCAGCTGCTGCTCAGGGGAAAACCCCAAACCAAACACCGTGTGGGCTCCGCTGTCGGCCCTGCCCAGACTTCTGTGGCGTTTTGGGGAAGGGCGTATTTGGTGCGATTGTGCTGTTGATGGTCGCCTTGGCTCCGCCCACGCTGACGATCTGACAGCGGTTCCTTGTGACGTCATAGAAGGAGGAAACGGTGACCGCTGAGCTCGCAGGATCCAGTTCTTCCTGATGTTGGGATCGTTCTGGAAGACATGGGCTCGGGTGAAGTTGGGCTGTTCTCCCATCTCCAGCACTGCTCCAGCGGCCACTGTGACCGGCCTCTCCGGCACCCTCTGAGGCACCTGCTGAAGCCCCTGCACACCAGCCTCAGCCCTGGCACTGCTCCAATCTGTGGGGCTGCCCAGGCATGGGCTCTGGACAAAATAATTCTAAGAGATGAAAGGATAATGTGTAATAAGGAGACATCAGCATTCCATCTCAGAAAAAATTGAAAATATGTGATACATGCAAAGTCCTGAGAATAAACCTTGAAGCACAGGGAGGGTCTCATGTATGTTGTGTTGAACAACTGAAACAAAGCAGAATGGAATTAAGTGTTTCTGTGTTTATCTAGTTCAAAGAGAGAGAAGCTTCGAGTCCTAGGGACACACACAATTTGCCTGCTTCTGCCCATCTCGGAGCTACTGGCTGAAGCCTTCAGAAGGCAGGAGGTGAATAAGTTTCTCAGGACAATCTAATCACACCCGGACAGGGAGAAAAAATCATCACCTAGGATGGATTTAAAAATGTGTGGTTAAAATTTCATTGAAAATTGAGAAAATTTGGTTGTATACATAGAGTACAAAGCTACATTATGATTTATAAATGCAATATGGAATAACTAAATTGAACTAATTGACATATATATCACCTCCAGTTTTTATCTGTGTGTGTGTGTGTGTGTGTGTGTCTGTCTGTCTGTGTGTGACAAGAATATTTGAAATTTGTTCTTGGCTATTTTACATAACCGGTAGACTATGTTTAAACTTACAAATAGACATTAATTTATGTAAACTATAGAGAATGGCTGAAATCATTTATGGATTACTCTAAATTTTGTTAATCATTAAGTTTTATTCTTTGGGACATATTTTATAACTTTTTAATAATATTAAATGCTAAAGATCATAGATGTATTCATAAGTTTGTGTATTTACACGTCTATAGATGTAAATTTATGTCTCCATAGCTATGTTGTTGCTGATATCAACAGTCGTTAATAAATCTCTAGAAGAATAAGTGCAAATTATTAGGAAAAATTATTTCTTGAAGGTATAAATATTTTTTAAATGCCTCTACCTATAAATTTAAAAATTACAAAAACACAAATATCTCAATTAAAAATTATGATAAATAAATATTTTAAAATATTGCAACCTCAAAAACAAGTCGACCTGCAGCTGAGACAGGAAACCTCCCCCCTGCACATGCTCCTGGAAACTCTCCTGTCCTCTGTGGGTTCCGGGCGCCCCCTGGTGGCCCCATGTCCCCCATGCAGGAAGGTTCGTGTCTGGGCTCACAATGACCTCCACTCACTGTGTCTCTAGTACAGTAATAGACGGCTGTGTCCTCGGTTTTAAGGCTGTTCATTTGCAGATAAAGTGTGTTCTTGGCGTTGTCTCTGGAGATGGCGAATCGGCCTTTCACGGAGTCTTTGTAGTTTGTTCTACCCCCATCAGGATTAATTTCTCCAACCCACTCCAACCCCTTCCCTGGAGCCTGGCGGACCCAGCTCATCCAGTAGTCACTGAAGGTGAATCCAGAGGCCGCACAGGTGAGTCTCAGGGAACCCCCAGGCTTTGCCAAGCCTCCCCCTGACTCCACAAGCTGCACCTCACACTGGACACCTGCAAACACAGAGACATCCTGGTCAGAACCTACCACACATATCCACTGTTTCTCTCACTCATGTCCACTCACACTCAACATCTCTAGTTCTCCATAAATCACCTTTTAGAATAGTAACAAGGAAAACCCAGCTCAGCCCAAACTCCATGGTGAATCCTCTGTGTTTGGTGCTGATCACCAAATGAAAACACCTGAGAATTCTGGGGCTGGGCTTGTTTCCCAGAGCTGCAGGGTCAGAGCTGGGCTGGTTTTTATCAGCAGAGGGAGAGCCCTATTTGCATGTCTCCTGCTACAAAGCAAGCTCTTGGGTGGGACGGCTGAGGAGAGACCAGTGCCCAGAGCGAATGAAAGCGTCCTGGAAAACATTGGCGGTAATCCTATCTCTTGGGAAAATATAACTTCAGATCATGTGATTGTGTGTTGACAATCATTTAGCAGTCATCATCTTATTTTACTGTTACATATTCGGCGGAATATCTTTAATTCAAGTGTTAATGTTACACGTTTAGGGAGGATAAATTATACACAGAGCAGTGCAGTTGTGCAGTGTGTCCAATATCACACATCTGGACAGAGTTAGTCCCATCTGTGCCTGTGTCTCCAATTACTGGAAGAAACTTCCCCCTGATACTCTGCTCCAGGGCAGTGTGGGACATGTCTAGGGAGGTTTCAGGATGTCCCACCTGTCATAGCTACACTATGTGATTTTGCCTTTTCTAGTGTTTATCTGAAACATACAACCAGTGTTCACATGTGTGTGTCTTCAGGAGTCCATGATTATTCAAGCGCCAGTATTCATGTCTTTCTTGCTCTTTCTCAGCGAATAGATTCATTTTTGTAGCAGCTTTATTAAAAATCAATCAATAACTCAAATTGATAGAGCAGCATTTGGAAAATGTTGATGTATGTTTGCAGTCATTGAATCAGCACTTCATATTGTCAACAATTAAATTAATCTAATTTTTTTCTCTCACTTCTCTGTAATTTTATTTCACCACCTTTTACGAACGCCACCCTATTCTCAGAGAAACTTGGATCTTCTCCATGTTAATTTTGAATACTTGCATCTTCTACAATTTATGCACATGAAATAGTATAAAATTTACTGTTAATTATTTAGCTTCCTTCACTCAGCACAATTCTTAGATAATGCCCCCATGTTCTTATATGAATGAGGCATGCCTTCATTTCAATGGTTCCTTTTATTTCAGTACATGAATGTATTTTACATTTTTTAACAATTTAACAAAATGGGTATTTGATTTGCTATCTTAGTTTCTGAATTCTACTTAGAAAGCAGACACTAAACATGAGAATGTAAAAATTGAGAAAATTATGTTTTTTGACTTCATTAACAAAAAATGTGAAGGACTACAAAAAAATAAACTTTTCAACGTATCTGAGTTGATGTCACAGAGAAAACACCCTTGAAATCTGTGAAAATAGGAGACTGCAGAGAGAACTAGGGCCCATTTATTAGACTACCTGGGGTGGGTGCCATCATGGCATGGTATTAAAGATAGCAGAAAGCTAACCTAGAAACGTTTAATAAGTTGCTTGAGGACATGTGTGCTAATGATGTTAGGGTGTGACACTCCTGGCACTTTCAGGCTTTTCCTACAGAACTGGGGAATATGCCCAGACAACTCATCCACCTGCCATCCTGTGGTGTTGACTGAGGAGGAAGAACAGCAGCTCCGATCAATGCTGAGTTCCCCTTCACTATATATGGGAGACTTTTATTAAATCTTGTGTCCTATGGGTACTGGTAGAATCAACTAGTACACAAGGAAACAGAGGACACCAAGGAAACTCTACCCAGAAACACCTCCCATGTCTTTCCTGAGGAATGAAATCCTGAATCTGTGGGGTAAGGACAGTGGGTCAGAAGCTGTGGGCACTTATGAGAAACCTCTGTGGCTGGGAAGAGACACTCTGACACTTGGGGAAGGAGAGGAACAGGAACGCTTGGAAGGCCGTGCTTCAGAGCCAGTCTCCTTCCACAGCTAACAAGGAGGCTCAGACAGACGGCTGGAGAATGTCCCCCGTGTCCAAGCCCCTTCACCACACTAACAATCACAAAGTAAGGGTGTCACCAGGACGCACCTCTACAGCAGAAACAGACGGGCTCTCTCTGGGGAGAATGAAATGTTAAGACCCAAAGCCAAACAGGAACACAAAAGCAGATATCAGCAGAGGAGCCTGAAGCTTTTGTGAACAAGAGAAGCTGAATTCCACTCCAATAGCCGTGTCAACCATAAACTTGAAACCCAACCCTGACTAGATTCATGGAAACGTGGTTACCGAAGGCCCAGCAGATGTAATGTGTGACCATGTCCACCAATAAATTACACAGGAAATTAAAACTGGAATTCTACAGGCATTATAATATCATTAGAAGTGAAAGGGAAGTGTAATTATGTCATTAATAAAAATATCTTCAGACAATCTTTTGTCAGCACTTTCATGTTTCAGTGCAGATTTTAACTAAGTTTCTCTGCTAGTAGCCATGTAATATGCATTCAAAACATAGCTCTATACAACAGAATTAAGATTGTAAAAGATGGGCACATCCAGATGAATTGCTGTTTTAGCTTTGCAATTGCAGAGTGGTGAGAAGCAGGAATCCAAAGCACAGCTACACTGTCTCTGTACTTCGTATAACGAGCATCACGGTATTTGCATTAGAATCTAATTATATACAATTCTTACTGTAAACCTTATGGTAACCAATACAACATTTATAAAAAGTGAATTAAAGAACATGTTAATAGAGGAATAAACATCATTATGAAATGCTAATTTAAACAAAAGTTAAAAGAAAAAGCAATATTAGTTTAAAAATAAAATTCATAGTTCATTTTAAAAAGGAAGACCCAACCATTACCTATGTACAAGAATGTTACTCTACAAATTCACAAATAGAACAGATAAAACAGGAGAACATGGATTATCACAATATCAACCAAAAGAAAGCTACAGCAGTTGTGTGAATTTCACATAAAGTAGACAACAGAAAAGCCTTTTAGGCTTAACAGGGATATTACATGGGATAATGTTACCAGTCTTTTAAAAGACACCAAATAGTTATTTAACAAATATGTAATAGATGAAGCATGTAGCATTCACAGTGACTTACAGAACAAACGGGATAAAATAAGTCAAGATGTCAGTGAGACCACGTATGTCAGGGTACCCTGGGGACTGTGAAGCTTCTGTGTGCCCATGGAGGGCACCGCTGAGACCTTCCTCTTGAATTTCTTCCTGTTGCCGCCCACACAAACTGAAGTGCTGAACCAAGCTTAGGCTGCAATCAGTGAAGGTGAATCCAGAGGCTTTGCAGGAGAGGCTCAGTGAACCGTTGGCTGTACACTTTCTCCCCCTCAGACTCCACCAGTTAACTTCACAAAGGACTTCTGCAAACATGGGGGGAACAGACTGAGAACAGCCCCATGTGGAGCAGCCACAGCTGGACCTGATCTACAAGGGACCCCAATATTGAAGGAAATCCAGATCAGTGCAGACCCCACGGTGTGGACACTGGGGAAGGGCACAGACATGGGGTGACTCCTCACCGGGGTCTAAAGAAATGGGGATGAGCTGCCTTTCATCAGGAGGGGAGGAAACACTTTTCCATGTCTTTCTTTTTGTGGTCATGGTGCACCGCTCAGCATTGCTCATTCATCCTCTGTGTCTCCATTTCAGGGAGGGCAGGGTCAAAGGATTCCTGGGTCTGGATCCACAGGGGTAATCTGCCCATTACTCTTTCTTATTCTCTAATGTGGACAGTGTTTGGGTATCTTCACCATAAAAAACATTATCAACAAGTAAGTCCAGTAAGAACATAAGAAATACATTTCCTGAGAAAATGGACGCCTGTCTCTATTGGTGCATTGGCAGCTGCAAACTACAGTTCTTGACAATAAGGCAAAGTGAGGCCACCATGAAAAACATACAGATCTACACCTTGTCGGGGAGGGGGTTATAATGATCATTTTGCTACAAAACATTTCCACATTGGATATATGTCCCTCTGTAAGAAAACAGTCAGTGTGGAAACACGTGTACTTACCTGAGTGAAGAGTTCACATTGAGACATGCTTACTTGTCTGAGACAAAAGCCCACAAGAGGAAGTGTCTGTTTTCTGAGGAAAGAGTAAATGTGAGGACATATGTGGTAGTCTAGGAAAGAGTCCATGTTATTTTCAGTGCACCCGAGTGTAAAAGCTTCATGACACTTGGCAATAGAGCCACAGACTGAATGGTTTGCAGAAGTGAGCTCATCAGTGGAAGAAAGCTGCCTGCCCCAAGGAATTCAGTCTCTTTAACCAGAGCACCTGAAACATGGTGTCCTGAGGCCTTGTGAAAATTCATTTCCTGGAGTAAAGAAACTGGAAAGTTGTTCTCAAATCACTGGAAGAAACGTTATCAGAAGTTTCATCAACACAGCCGTCAGATTCCAGTAAGTCAATGCTTGTGTTTATGTTTCACAATTCAAATAAAACAATGATTACATTTACACAATTGGAAGGATTCTCCAACAAAGGGAATTTTGACCTGTTTGATTAATAGACCAGTGTTCACTCACAGACATTTTCCTATGGGATCTCAGCTTGAACGTGTCTGTGTAACCTGAAGAAGTTTTCTCAGCAGATCATTTTTCTCTGTACGTCCACACATGCAAAAGCAGGTCTTGTGTATCTGTGCGTGAGTGACCTACAGAAGTCCTGCTCTTATTAATGGAAGTTCATGGGACGTGGTAACTGCATCACTTACTGTGCTCTCATGCTTCGCTGCTTTGAGACATTTCTCACCTGTGTGACGGGGCGATGGGTGCCTCTGAGACTGTGCTGAGTTTGGACTGAGCATGTTCTCCACTCTTCACTGGACTTCGTGGCTTCTCGTTCACACAGATGTGTCTGTGACTGAAAACCCAACACTGATGTTCAACGGATTTTCCTCTTATGAGATTCATATTCTCTCACTCTCTTTCTCTCTATGTCTCTATTTCTCGATTTTTCAAAGACAATATTATTTATTAATAAATCATCCTAAATGTGCCAGGAGCCCTGCACATATAAGGGAAAGAATCCAAGGCGACCCTCTGTCTCAGAGCCTCTTCCCAGGGTTGAGTGCCCTGCTCAGGTGTCAGAGGACACAAACCCATTCCTCCTGTGAAAGAGCATCCCTCTGCTGAGTGTCAAGGCATCCAT